ATTTTCCCTACATATTTGCCGTTTGAAGTGATATTAAGAGACAACCCTCTTATTTCGTTTGCTTCAAATTGTGACAGTGTAATTGCACATCTTTACATTTGAATAGACAGAATTGGAACAGCCAGTGGACTAATGACAAATTAAAAGGCTCGACACACATGTCGTCGACGTTGTCGGCGTCGTCATCATTATACTCGTAATACCAAACAAGAGTGAAATGACAAAACGGGAAACGGGCTTGGCAATCTTTAAGGAAAGAGGAAATAAAATTGCTTACAAAAGGTAACGGAAACACAAATGAAGAAGAAAATAATTCCATTTACGTCACACAGTCATAGAGAATTTTCAGGTGGCATGTGCTAATAAGACAGTGATGTTGCTCATATACGCCCTAACTCTATTAGTCAGAACTGGAGTGATGAACGAAAAATGAAAGTTTTAATCAAGTAGGTAAAATATTTTTTGTATATTTTAGTGTTTAACATATTTGAATAGTGTGAAGAACTCAAAATATTCGTCGAAGAATACCTAAACTAGAGTTTTTGCCAATTGGATATGTGTCGTATATTTTAAAAGTGGCTCAAGTCAATTTTAGGTTCTAATACAAATCTTGATTTTCTAGAAAAACTTGCAAAACATATTACGCTTAATATTCTACCATGTTTAAAGGCACAAAGCCACAAACAAACAAAATTAATACCACTTAAGGGAACCCCACCCATTCTCGATTTTAATTTTTCAAGAATTTCAATGGGCTGGTAAATCAATACCAATGCTTGTTAAGGTTTGTAACTTTGCACATATATATATTTGAAGATTTAAAAGAGAAGAAAAATAATTTACAAAAAAATTTTGTTATTGTTTTGTTGTTGTTTTTTGTAATTAAAGAATAGTCCTTATTTTTTATGGGCATGATAACTCCTCACTGGAACATCGGAATCCGAAAATTCCAACGGTTTTAGAAAGAGTACATGTCTGGCTCTCGTATGAACTAGGATTATTGACTTCGCTCTAAAATTAACAAAATGTTGGACCTTTGAAAAAATATTTTTGGAAAATCGCCGATTTGTTACCAAAAACCAAGTTAAAAAATAAGGAAGATCTTCACCGATTGGCTTTATTCTAGTTCATACGAGAGCTATACACTCCCAGAGAAACGTTGCAAAATTTGGAACCGATTGGATTATTAGTTTTTGAGTTATCGTGCCCGCCATTCGCAAAAAAATGTTTAGAGAAAAACGCGTTTAAAGTTTGAGAAGCCCTTCAGCCGTCACTTGATGCTGACACAATAAATCGGCTATATCTTCAAGAGTTCTTGAGATTTTCACTTGAAATTTTGTAGAGACATTCTTTAATCAGTGTAGATTCGAATTATATCAACAAAAATTTTGACCCCGAGAATGGGGGGGTCCCCTTAACAATATTTTTGAATAAAATCAGACCCAAACCGTCAAATATCTCAATAAAAAATTATGGATTTAAACTACTTTCAAAATAAACGACTCATATGTTGGCACCGCCGATTTTTGGTATTTTGGAGATTCTAGGCACATTTGAACAACGAAGTGGCTGTAATTTTGCTTTTCGGGGTTTTGGAGGTTAACATACAGGGTTAACCTTTCAAAAATAATGTGAAAAAATTAGTTGGCAAAAAATGATCAGATTTGAGACTTCTTAGAGAAAAACTACATGACGTATCAATTTTAAATTTCATATTTGCATTAATTGGAGTGTTTTCTATAAATTCTCATCTTATCTCGCGTTCGTGACACTGTGCGTCGTAGAAAAGTGGGGCTTGAACAATGGGTGTGGATAGAAATTATTCGAACACAGATTTCTGCAACGACTAAGCTCTTTTCTCACTTCGTGGAGTAAAGTCGGACAGGGCCGACTATATGATACCCTTCACCACTTTGGAATATATTCAACAGATGAATCCTAACAGACGTCGCAGTTTTGAGGGACCAGTAAAATGAAACATGTCATTCTGCAACCTATACTAAATTTTTCATTTTTCAATTTAAAGCAAATATCAATCGGTCACCCGTTGATTATTTGGATAAATATCTGATAAACCTCCTCATGTTTATGTTTAGTGCACCATTTACTTAAAATCGAGAGAAAATATATATGGTAGCCCTATCCAAATTTGAACCGATTTCAACAAAACTACAGTTCATTGTACAAAATTGTGTGGCAATCGGACAAACTTACATAAAATTGGAAGAAACAATATGTCGGAGCTATGTCTAAATCTGAAGCGAATCTTAGCACACATCATTCTGGACTTACACTATGCCAAATTTCGTGCAAATTGATAGATATATATAGGGACTTTCGTACACCACTTACATTAAATCGGACAAATATATATGGGAGCTATATCTTAATCTGAACCGATTTTCATGAGACTTAACACATCATTCTAGACCTAATTCATTACGCTGTGCCAAATTTCGTGCAAATCGAGAGGACTTTGGTGCACCGTTTACGTTCAATCGGACGAAAATATATATATATATATATATATATACATATATATGGGCTATATCTAAATCTGAACCGATTTTCAGGAAACTTAAAACACATCATTCTAGAATGATGAATGATAGAATCAAAAGATATATAGGGATTTTGGTGCACCATTTACATTTAATAGGACGAGAATATCTATAGGAGCTATATCTAAATCTGAACAGATTTTCAGGAATCTTAACACACATCATTCGATACCTAATTCATTACGCTGTGCGAAATTTCGTGCAAATCTAAAGATATATAGATACTTTGGTGCACCATTTACTTTTAATCGGACGAAAATATATATGGGAGCTATACTTAAATTTGAACCGATTTTTCCCAATTTCAATATGGTTCGTTCTTGGACCAAATAAGTGACCTATTGCATGCATAAATCGACATGCATAAATCGACTTAGAAATTGATTCTATGCATATTTTCAAAAGGAACCCTGTGTCTATCTCGGTTCCTTTTGCCTGTTACAAACATATGCACAAAGACATAATACCCTGTACCGCAGTGTGGTGAAGGGTATAAAAATCACTTTTTGATGCACTCTTTGGCCCGAAAGAATTATTGATAATTACTTCTACGAAAACAATTGTCAATTCGTAGCGCTATGGTCAATAACCTACTTTCTTGCCTGCTTTCGCAGAATACGACATATATATGTGGTTTCAACAAAATGATGTCACATGTCACAAAACTCAAGCGAATATGGCTTTATACAAGAGACATTTCCAGGCCGCGTAATGTTTCGTAGTGACGATAACAACTGGTCACCAAGATCATTCCATTTGACACAATTAGACAAATGTGGATAGAGCCACGCGAAAGGCCGTATGACTGAAATACTGCCCATGTGGCTGAAATACCGCCCATACGTCAAAAAGTGGTGGAAAATTCCCCCAAAAGGATCAATTTCACTTTATGTCTCTGTTTCGACATGGTCCCCATATGTTCAGAATTTTTAAAGTTTTAGCAGCATTTTCCCATTGAATTTGCTGTAATTTTACATTCCGGTTTACTGGTGAGTAAAAACAATATTTTCAGGAATTTTCAGTAAGTCTGCATAAACAATCTTCATTGGCGCTTAGACCCGAAACAACGGCATTCGGAAATTACATGCCTGTATCTGGTACGATAATAGGTATATAAACTTCAAACATGGCGAATATATATAGAATTAGTTTTCTGGAAAATACTCTATTTCCGACCACAAATCGGGTCAGAAAATAAGAACGATCTTGGCAGATTACATTTATCCTAGTTCGTACATACAGAATAAATTTGAATAAAATTTTGAACATATTGGATTATTAGTTTTTATCTATGGTGCCTCCCATTCATAAAAACACTGCTTTGAGAAAAATGTGTTCAAAAATTGAGAAGCACTTTTACCGTCGCTTGATGCTGACACAATAATTGTAGTCGAAATTGTAAACGGACATATTTAGATTAGTGTAGGAATGGGGTATCCCCTTAAGTTTGAGAAGCAATCTTGTTGTCGGTTTATTCCGACAAGAGTTGTTGTGATTTTCACTTGAAATTTTAAGGGACATCCGGAAGGTCCGATTTAAATGAAAAACCAAATTTCAAATTTTTAAAACCGAAAGTGATGACAAAGTTTATTGAAATTGGAGGTCGGGAACTTCTTATGGTGCCATTGTATAATATATCTGTCTGCTAGTAGGTTCTTTATTTGAGAAAATTAAAAAAAGGGATACTGACTTCAATGTACCGAAAAATAAACGCGTCATTGTATGGGAGCGATATTAAATCATGAGCCGAATTTGGGTGGCGTTCCTCTTTGCAACCATTCCGTGGGAAATGCTTCTTAAGCCTTAAAATGAAGCAATTGGAACGGAACCTCTATATGGGGATATGTCCACACATAGTCTTTTGTATGTTTACCTCATAAAAACTAGAATTACAGCGATTTTAAGGGAGCATGTGCTTAAACAAAATACGCACAATAGAGTGGTATTAGAATATTTGACACCCCATGAGAACTCAAAACAATGATATTACAGTTAAATCTTTTGAAACCCGTAGCCATCGTGTCTAAGTACCCGAAATATGCACCAATTGTTGTACATTTTGATAGGGGATTTTCTACCCAATGAGAATCCCACATATCATTTTAAAACCAATACATTTGAAAAAAACGAGCCTAAAGTCACCAAAATACCGAATAACTGGAGTACTGCTCTGTGGGGGTTACTTTGAAATATGGACCGATAAGATAATTTTTGTAGGGAGAGGAAAAATTTGAGAGGAAATCGTGTAACAGACATATCACATTTCTGTGTATATTTAACAGTAACAAGGAAACCGACAATAAACAAAATAGTTTGTGCATCCCTCACTCAGTTTGTTTATAGCAACCGTTGTTGGGGCCAATGGAAAATGTTTGGCTACAATAACGAATCAATACATTCGACCGAGGATAGTTTGACATATTTTTCGTAATATAACAGACAAATAAATATCCCGTAAAAATGGACACGGACAAAATGGATATCAATCAGAAAATTGCTGAAATTAAGAAACGCATTTTACTGGCAGGTAAGAAAGTTACACGGAATTTGAGGAGACAATAAAATTACTGTTTTATTTCTTTTATATTTCATTTCTATAGAAGGCCAAAAGACCGCCAATTTAGCTGAATGGCAAAAACAAAATCGCATCAACTGCGATACCATTTCAACGTTGAAAAAGGAAATCAAAGAATTAACTGTTAAATGTGGTCGTCTACGCAATCCCTTGCAACGTTCGGTTATTATGAAAGAACCTCCAGCCACAACAGCGGTTGCGGTGCCTGGCGAGAAAGTGCGAAAAACTAGTTCAGCTTTACCCACAATTGTTGTGGGTAAGGTAAGCTATCCAATTGGGGCGAAAAATGTTGATGATGCCATTTTCTTGACGGATTTAAAAATTACCGAAAATCGTAAACAATTGGATTTGCTAAGGCATCGCTTCAAGTGTCGCAAGCAACATTTTGCCAAGCTGATGGAGCAATACCGGGAATTGGTGGCGAACAAAGAGGCACAGGAACAAAATTTGGGTGAAAAACCACCAGAGACATTGGAGGAGGATAATAATCGGAAGGTGAGATATTGGCTTGATATAACTTCATATTTAGGGCTAGGAGCCTATTATGAGAGTTTATTGAGACGCCTTTATAGGAATATATAACGACTCCTTAATAAGAGTCTATGAAGACTCCTTTATAGGAGTCCATGAAGACTCCTTTATAGGAGTCTATGAAGACTCCTTTATAGGAGTCTATGAAGACTCCTTTATAGGAGTACTCATGAAGCTCCTTTATAGGAGTCTATTAAGACTCCTTTATAGGAGTCTATGAAGACTCCTTTATAGGAGTCTAGAAGACTCCTTTATAGGAGTCTATGAAGACTCCTTTATAGGAGTCTATGAAGACTCCTTTATAGGAGTATATAACGACTCCTTTATAGGAGTCTATGAAGACTCCTTTATAGGAGTCTATAACGACTCCTTTATAGGAGTCTATGAAGACTCCTTTATAGGAGCCTATGAAGACTCCTTTATCAGAGTCTATGAAGACTCCTTTATAGGAGTCTATGAAGTCTCCTTTATAGGAGTCTATGAAGACTCCTTTATAGGAGTCTATGAAGATTCCTTTATAGGAGTCTATGAAGACTTCCTTTATAGGAGTCTATGAAGACTCCTTTATAGGAGTCTATGAAGACTCCTTTATAGGAGTCTATGAAGACTCCTTTATAGGAGTCTATGAAGACTTCCTTATAGGAGTCTATGAAGACTCCTTTATAGGAGTCTATGAAGACTCCTTATAGGAGTCTATGAAGACTCCTTATAGGAGTCTATGAAGACTCCTTTATAGGAGTCTATGAAGACTCCTTTATAGGAGTCTATGAAGACTCCTTTATAGGAGTCTATTAAGACTCCTTTATAGGAGTCTATGAAGACTCCTTTATAGGTGTCCGTGAAGACTCCTGTATAGGATTCTATGAAGACTTCTTTATATGATTCTATGAAGTCTTCTTTATGGGAGTCCATGAAGACTCCTTTATGGGAGTCCATGAAGACTCCTTCATAGGAGTTCATGAAGACTCCTTTATAGGAGTCCATGAAGACTCCTTTATAGGAGTCTATGAAGATTCCTTTATAGGAGTCTATGAAGACTCCTATATAGGAGTCTATGAAGACTCCTTTATAGGAGTCTATGAAGACTCCTTTATAGGAGTCTATGAAGACTCCTTTATAGGAGTCTACGAAGACTCCTTTATAGGAGTCTATGAAGACTCCTTTATAGGAGTCAATGAAGACTCCTTTATAGGAGTCAATGAAGACTCCTTTATGGAAGTCTATGAAGACTCCTTTATGGGAGTCTATGAAAACTCCTTTATATGAGTCTATGAAGACTCCTTTATAGGAGTCTATGAAGACTCCTTTATGGAAGTCTATGAAGACTCCTTTATGGGAGTCTATGAAAACTCCTTTATATGAGTCTATGAAGACTCCTTTATAGGAGTCTATGAAGACTCCTTTATAGGAGTCTATGAAGACTCCTTTATAGGAGTCTATGTAGATTCCTTTATAGGAGTCTATGAAGACTCCTATATAGGAGTCTATGAAGACTCCTTTATAGGAGTCTATGAAGACTCCTTAATAGGAGTCTATGAAGACTCCTTAATAGGAGTCTACGAAGACTCCTTTATAGGAGTCTACTCCTTTATAGGAGTCTATGAAGACTCTTTTATAGGTGTATATGAAGACATCTTTATAGGTGTCTATGAGTCTATGACTCCTTTATAGGAGTCTATAAAGATTCCTTTATAGGTCTTCTTTATGGGAGTCCATGAAGACTCCTTTATGGGAGTCCATGAAGACTCCTTCATAGGAGTTCATATTTATAGAGTCCATGAAGACTCCTTTATAGGAGTCTATGAAGATTCCTTTATAGGAGTCTATGAAGACTCCTATATAGGAGTCTATGAAGACTCCTTTATAGGAGTCTATGAAGACTCCTTTATAGGAGTCTATGAAGACTCCTTTATAGGAGTCTACGAAGACTCCTTTATAGGAGTCTATGAAGACTCCTTTATAGGAGTCAATGAAGACTCCTTTATAGGAGTCAATGAAGACTCCTTTATGGAAGTCTATGAAGACTCCTTTATGGGAGTCTATGAAAACTCCTTTATATGAGTCTATGAAGACTCCTTTATAGGAGTCTATGAAGACTCCTTTATAGGAGTCTATGAAGACTCCTTTATAGGAGTCTATGTAGATTCCTTTATAGGAGTCTATGAAGACTCCTATATAGGAGTCTATGAAGACTCCTTTATAGGAGTCTATGAAGACTCCTTAATAGGAGTCTATGAAGACTCCTTAATAGGAGTCTACGAAGACTCCTTTATAGGAGTCTATGAAGACTCCTTTATAGGAGTCTATGAAGACTCTTTTATAGGTGTATATGAAGACATCTTTATAGGTGTCTATGAAGACTCCTTTATAGGAGTCTATGAAGACTCCTTTATAGGAGTCTATAAAGATTCCTTTATAGGAGTTTATTAAGACTCCTTTATAGGAGTCTATGAAGACTCCTTTATTGGAGTTTATAAAGACTCCTTTATAGGAGTCTATAAAGACTCATTTCTAAGAGTCTATAAAATCTCCTTGCCAGGAGTCTATAAAGACTCCTTTCTAGGAGTCTATGAAGACTCCTTTATAGGAGTCTATGAAGACTCCTTTATAGGAGTCTATAAAGACTTCTTTATAGGAGTCTATAAAGACTCATTTATAGGAGTCTATAGAGACTCCTTTATAGGCATATGAAGACTCCGTTGAAGGATCCTTTATAGAAGCATTAGAAGTCTGCTATGATGACTCCATTGTAGGTTTCTTTGAAAATTCTTTAATGGGAATCTATGTCCATAAAACTCCATTTATGAAGTCTTTCAATTTCCTTTGTAGAAGCAAAATATTAAAAATAGTCCACTTTTTGCATTGTAGCTAGTCTGTCAACTGGAAAATCAAATTCATCGTACCAATGTCCAATGGATGGAGGCCGAACATATTCGCAAGAAGTATAGATCCGTCGAGGCTCTTGTTTATGA